CATCGCGCACATCCGCCGCGCGAACCCGACGCTGAACGCGCTCGTCTTCGAGTGCTTCGACGAGGCAACCGAGGCCGCGCGCGCGGCGGATGGCCAGTGGGAGACCTGGCGGCGGGACCCTGAGACGGTCCCGAAGCCGAGCTGGCTGCTTGGCGTCCCCTGCACGGTGAAGGAGTCGATGACCTGCCGGGGGTGCCCGAACTCGTCGGGGCACCCCTCCCGCCATGGCCGCCTCTCCGCCGTCGACGGGCCCGTCGTGCGGAACTTCCGCGAGGCCGGCGCGATCATCCTCGGGGTTACCAACACAAGCGAGCTCTGCATGTGGTACGAGAGCTCCAACTACGTCTACGGGATTACCTGCAACCCGTACGATACACGCTGCATTGTGGGTGGAAGCAGCGGCGGCGAGGGCACGGCGGCAGGCGCAGCCTTCAGCGTCTTCGGCATCGGCAGCGATATCGGTGGATCGATTCGCATGCCATGTTTTTTTAACGGCGTCTATGGGCATAAGTCGAGCCCGCATTATATCTCGAACAGCGGGCAACACCCGGGCGCGCGGAGCTCGGCGAACCACTACATGTCCACCGGGGTGATCACCCGCTTCCCGGAGGACCTCATCCCGCTCAACCAAATCGCCGCCCGCGGGGGGTTTGGAAAGGACCCTGCAATTTTCCCCCCCGCTCAGCCGCTGGAGAAAGTGGTGGATTTCAAAAGCTTCCGCCGCCGGCTGCGCGTTTTTGCGGTTGAGGAGTTCGGCGCGCCGTGGCCGGTGCGGGTTTCGGAAAGCCAAAAAGAGGCCGTCCGCGTCGCCGCCGAGGCCCTTTGCACGCATTTGAACGCGCACGTCACGTACGTGAATGTGATCGATCGACAGAGATGCACGGCCGGGGAAGTGCCGCCGGAGTTCGCGCCTTTCCCACGCATCCTAGAGATGTGGTTCGATGCCCTGAGCTTCGATCCGGAGGAGAATAAGTTCCGCAAGTTGATGGCCGAGGGCCACGGCAACGAGGACGTGAACTGGTTCGCGGAGCTCCTCCGCTGGATGTTCGGCCGCTCGCGCCATACCTTACCCGCTCTTGTCCTCTGCGTGATGGAGGAAATCGGGGATTGGTTGGCTTTCTGGCGTAACCCCCACAAACCCACCTCCTGCAAGACCTTCGAGTCCTTCAAGACCGGCCTCGAGACGCTTCTCGGGGAGGATGGGATTCTGCTCACCCCGACCTTCCCCACCGCGGCCCCCCGCCATCACGCCCCGAATTGGAACCCCCTGCAATTTCAATACACCGCGGCCTTCAACGTCCTGCAGTTCCCCGCCACGACCTGCCCGATCTGGCTGGGGGCGGAAATGAAGGACGCCGCGCGGAGCCTCTCCTACTTCGAGGCCCGCGCGGCGGGGCTGCCGAGGGACTTCCACCTGCCGAAAGGCGTGCAGGTCGTCGGGGCGACCCACCAGGATGAGCTCTGCATTAGCGTCGCCATCGCGCTGAAGGAGATCCTGGGGGGGTACCGCTATCCGGGCTGGGCTCACCTGAAGGGCACGTGAAAAGAAATTCAAAAGGAGGAAATATAAAGAGAAGAGGTGGTTGAAAAAGGGGGCGTGAAGAAATACGTGGTGCAAAGGATCACGTATTCGAGGATGCATAACCGCGACTCCCTATGATATGAATATTTGCCTATAATAACCTACCATTGTCGTAGTTATTTTAATCAAATGGATGTACCCTCCCTCTCTCCCTCATCATTTTAAAATATATGAACTTCAGCAGATTGCTGGTATTTGCGAACAGGGGCGCTTTCGTTAGACGGGTTCAGATTTATGATAATTTCAATCGCAGTACGAAAATAAGGTGCGCAATTCGATTTTAGTGAAGCACGCTTCACAGTGTAAAGTTTTTCTCCGTTATTGTATTCATGTTTTATTCGGATTTTTATCAGTTTATAGTATTAGAAACAATGCAACGATCATAATCATTTGCATTGAGAGGCATTGATGTCCATTTAGTAAAGGGGAAAAAGGTGGAAGCAAAATTTCCTTTGATTAATGTTTTTTTGATTTTGAAAATTTGAACAAAGAAAAAATTTTGTGCCACAGACACATTGTGTAAACAAGGTGGATACACATACCTAAACGAAATATATATATCACTTTTTAGCTTCTGCCCTAGGTTTTTTGTGATAGGTCCCTCACGTCATTCCTTTATGTGCTTAATTGCTAGACGAACAAATGGAATCGGCATGTTTCGTGTAAAGCGAACCAGAGGGAAAGAAACAAATCTATGGGTCTGACTCAGGTATAACGGATTGCTATCAATTTTTTAAAAGCATATCGCACACCCCCAACTGAGGTGTGGCAGACGCAATGCCGTAATGGCCATCCTCGAATTTTTTATCCACTTCATTTTCCATTTCTCCCTCTTGTTTGTGCGAGATAGTTCTACGGTGAAGCGATACGAATCACGATCGATAGCGATCTAGGTCAACAGAAAGGTGGACGCGGCGTATTTGCCATTGCCACCCTCCAGGCTCCCCAGGTCCTCATCCTTTATCCGGTATAAAAAAGGAGAGGGTAGGGTACCCGCCCACTTCTGGTGAATAACCCCCCCCCCCCCCTCCCC